TATACTGCTCGTCGACTGGATTCTCTGCGTGCCTGCAAATCTAACCATGCAGGGAACACTCGCTGAGACCCGTGCCGGCAAGGGGCTCAGGGTCTTTTACGTGATGCCATCGGCCACCACGCTCGCCCTGCGTGCCCGTCCTTGGGCCAATACATCATCTCAATCTCGTGATCTTGCAGCTCCGGGCGCGATCTTCAGGTCACGCCGATGCCACGCACTCCCGCAGGCACAGTCCGTCTATGACGTTGCGCATCGTGATCATCTTAGTAGTTCTCCACATCGTCGAGTTGTTGTCTAGGTTCTGGGGTCCATCGTCTAGGCGATCGCATCGATCCTCTCCCACGACTGCAGTTGCACGCTATCCTCTAGCTTCGGCTCGGACGCTGTGTCCAGGGACACACGTCTTAACCCCATCATCCACCCAACAATCCCAGCCGGCACCCAATTGCCCACCAGATCGTATGTCACACTACCACGTCCGACGCGCCATACCTTCCTTGGCTGCTTCTGCGTGAGTGCATCGAATACGCCGTTGTGCAATTCCCGAAGACTTGAGCCGCTGTGATTTAACAATCCCCGGTTCTGCGCGACACGCGTTTGCGCTTCGAAGTTGTTGGCATACAGCGCTCTGGTAGTTGCTGGCCAAGCGTGTGGGCTCCCAAGCCCTCTGGTCTGGAGATGATGTTTCGGACCCACGTTTGTGAGATCGAAAGTTCCCAGATGAAATTGCAAAACTTCAATGCCAAGGGTTCCCAGTTCCGCCCTGAGTGATGCCAGGAACCCCTCGAGTGCGCTCACGATCGCAGTCTCTACGCTATGAAATGGCGGCCGTAGTGACGCAATAATGCTGGGCGTAAGCATTAGGACCCTGGATTTGAACTCACAGACTGTCGGCAGGAGCGCTTGGGTCACGGCGATGGTGTTGAGTACTTTGGCATTCAGCGCGTCTGACCAAAGCTCGGGGGTCACCGTCTCTACAGGCCCGGTAGGGTAGATGAGGTCTGGCACCAGTATGACACCGCTAAGATTGAGGTTGTGCGGGCTCGTCCCCGGGACAGCGACGTGCGGTTTCACAAGGAGCTCGTTGAAGTTCTGAATGGCCTGTTTTGTGCCCATCGTGTCCACAACATCCAAGTGCAGCGGCCGCACGTCTGCTCTTGATTCGCTGAGTACCTGCTGCTCTTCGTCCATGGTCGAGCACACAATGTATACAATGAAGCCGCGTCGTTCGAGGTCAAGGGCTAGCGATCGGACGATGGGCGAGTTGGGTGGTCCAGCAAGAACTGTTGGTGTTAGTCAGAGCCACTGCCTCGCGCCTTCCTTAAGCACTCACCAACGACCTCCGTCCTTGCCCCATTGCTCGCTCGCCGCACTCTTCGCTTGCGGTTATATTTCTTCTGTTCTCTCCATACCAGGAAACTTCCAGTGCCGACAAAGGCGACGATGGCTGCCGTCAGAGCCCGATTTTGCGACACCCAGTCTTGGAGGCGATGCAGGTAGGCACCGGTGATGGGATGCGGGGGCGGCGGTGGCGGGCGCGGTCGAGCGCGTTCTGGCAGCCATCCTTCGGGGAGGCTCTTCTTAATGTATCCGGCGACATGCGCAAAATGCGCATCAGTGGCGTCCCATATCGATCCCGTGAAGTTGCGGACGTCTTTCGTGTACTCGGAGAGCTTCACCCACGTCAGCGAGGCGCAGAGTCAAAGTCCGTTGTCTTACTCACCACGCCCAGAATCTGCTGGTCGTCGTTTGGCATGTCTTACAATTGTACTATATATCAGTGAATTATACGACTTGACAGCGTGCGATGCTCCCAGGTTCAAAGTCTTTGACAGCTGAGTGTGACGACTCCGCCAGTCCACTACGTCAGGCACTGACTCGCGGAACGGGATCCGCACACGGTCGCACGTGAGAGGCACAACCGGCCTCTGAGCTGTTGCGCCACTCTCTCGGTCAAGTCTAACATTAGCATCAGATCTTCCCACAAAATATGCGCGCTTGCTGACCCTGCAGACGATCGCCCTTTACCTTGTTTACAATAGCAGCGAGTTATTACTTTGTCTGAGTGAAGTCGTTTAATCAACGACCTGGCCTTGCCATCGTCAAGCAGCAAAGGCCGCGTGAAGTGCTTACGTGGCTGGCCTCGTCCTTCGCCTCTTTCTTCAATCTTTCTTTACTTTTCACTTTCCTTCACGGCTCTGCCACCAGGTTCCTATATCTTCTGTGCAAAGTTGGCCGCGCGCATATCCGATCCACTGAGTCATTTACTGCAACTCTCAACTACACCAAGTTGATCTACCACGTAACGCGCACGTATCCTCTCACACAACCCAACCATGAAAGAGATCGACGCGCATTTCGATGCCTACGAGCATCTGAAGCATCTGCCTAGGGAGAAAGAGGCGTTGCACATGCTTCGCAAGGCAGCTTCCATGGTGAAGCCGATTATGAGGAAGCGCGGCTGGAAAGTCAAAACACTATGCGAATTTCTGCCCGAATCGGCTCGACTACTAGGTAAAATCTCAAACTTCATGACTGGAAAATTTACTAACTTCTCAAGGTCTTAATGTAAATCGCACAGAAAGGATTCTCGTCCGCATGAGGTATCACTATGACGCCAGACAATTCCTACCCTTTGAAGAAATCATGGACACATTACTGCATGAACTTTGCCACATCGTATTTGGCCCCCACGACGGCAACTTCCACAACCTCTGGAATGAGCTCCGCGAAGAACACCAGACCCTTCTCATGAAAGGCTACACTGGCGAAGGCTTCCTGGGACAAGGCAAGAAACTAGGTGGCCAACGAGTCCCACTTGATGAAATGCGCCGCAATGCCAGGAAGGCCGCTGAAAAGCGACACGCCGCATCTAAACCCAGTAACGGAGGACATCGCTTAGGCGGATCACGCCCTGTACAACGTGGCGTCGATATGCGCAAGGTCATCGCCGATGCAGCGTCACGTAGAATCAGCATCACCGACGGCTGCGCGAGCGGGACGGCAAACGCAGGAACATTGGTCGACCAGCAAGCCCAAAATGGATTCCGAACGACTGCAGAACAAGACGACGCAAATGACTGGGCCATCGCGCAAGCCCTGCAAGATCTCATGTACCAAGAGGAAATGCAGAGGTTAGGTGCGCCAACAGGAAACGGCGGTCTAGCCTGGGATCCAGAGAACGGGTTGTCCGTCGACAATTACCCTGCCCAACCTCCTTGTCCGCCAGGAAGTGGCACTACACAGCCAGGAGGGTACTATGATAAAAATGGTGTCCAACTTAATGACGAACGCGACTCAGGTTGGAAATCGAATGGGAAGGGCGGTTATTACGTGCCCGAACATCCAGAGAATGAACCGTCAAAGAAAGCTCGGCCTATACGCAGCATGGCACAAACACCACAAGAAAGACCCATATCCCGACTCGTCACCCAACCATCATCACGGTCTTCGAATCCTAAGTCCTCTTCTTCCTCACGAACACCATCAAACTTCCATCCCCACGGCGACGACCAACGACGAAACAAGAGTCTTCCTCCGACACCCCTATCCTCATCAACACCTGATCCTCCCCTTCAACCCCTCCCTCCATCCCAGCAAAACCCACATATCCCTCCCCCAGACCACTGGTCCTGCCCCACCTGCACCCTCGACAACCCCCTCGCCCACCTCGCCTGCTCCATCTGCACCACAGAACAACCACCCCAACCCATCCCTGAACACCGACGCTTCGCCTCTTCTGACTCTTCTTCCTCCATACCCAACTTGCCCCGGCCGCCTCCGAGAACGGATCTGAGGAGGCAGGGGGGAGGGGAGGTGACGACGCCGTTTGAGCCTGCGAGGGGCAGGTTGGGTTGGAATTGTTTGGTTTGTGGGACTTTCATGGAGAGGGAGTGGTGGACTTGTAGTTGTTGTGGGAGTATGAAGGCGGAGAGTTAAGGAAGGTGGAGGGGTGGAGGTGGTACACGTTTTCTGGTCCTGTTTCTCTCTTTTCCTTTCCTTTCTCAGTTTGGAAGGGGTGTGAGGGATGCCGTTATTTGGAGTTTTACGTATATATACCCGCGCCGGGAAGCGCATGATGAAAGTTTGATACGTATTGGATTTTGAAAGTCTTGCTAGCTAGACATCTACACTAGGGCGAACGGGGGAGGTGGTGGGGATCGCTTGTTGCTTAGTAGAGGTACACTACCGCTACCTAATGCTACATCCTCAACGTTGCATTCACAAACATGCCGTCCGACTCAGTCTGCGCGACTATAGTCTCTAAGAGTGGGTGGGGGAGGCGGAGGGGAGGTGGAGGGCTCGCTCGTTGCCAGTCAGAGATGCAAGACCTCTTCGCTATCTTACATCTTGAACGCAGTAGTAACGAACATCCCATCTGAATCTGTCTGTACCTCAATACTTTCTGTCCCCCACGGCGCTTTCCTGGGCGGGCTCTCTGGTTTTAGAACTGGTGGCGTCGGCACTCTTTCTACAGGCTCTTCTCCGGACGCCAATTGCTGTTGCCGTTTCCGCTCCTTGTAAAACTCCTTTTGATGTGCATCATATCTTGCCCACATCTCAAGTAGAAGCCTTCGGCACTTTGCGCGCTGGAAGTAGCGCAAATCGGGCCAGTGGCATTGTCGATAGATAGCCCTAGCCTCCTGGTGTCGCGTTAATCTATCCAGTCTCGTAGACATTCGGTGAGAATACGACAAGCGAGGGGAGGTGGGGGGAGACGAAGTGTATGGTAGAATCGTGTAAACTCACTTTTGCCCATGACATGAAGGTATCGGAGGCGTATATCTTGTCATCTCGAGCTTCCCATATCATCCAGTGATCAGAAGGGTGTGGCAAGGGTATCATTTGGAGCGATATCAGATCTTGACACAAGCCGTCGAAATAGGCGACCGCAGGCACGGGTCGAGACGAACGCCATTCTTCGTCTTCTGGGACTTCCTCGAATGGTCTCGTAAGGTACGGGCCACGAGCAGTCAATTCACCTAAGATGGAACGCTGAGTCAAAAACGAAGCGAAACTGCAGAGTGGGACTGATGCCGATTGTCTATCTTTGTCGTCACCATATTACTTACCATTGTTGGTATCCAGCATCCACCACGTTCCCAGAGAGCTTCCCTCCAGAGGAACCGACAGTGGGATGATACCCTCAGGTATCCTTGAATCTTCAATCGGCCACATTCCCGTCATGTCAGCATCTTCGAGCTTGTAATCTTCCTCGGGATAGTAAAAAAGATGCGGGTAATAGTTAAGTGTGGTCGTGTCTGGGAAGACGGGCCTATCGTTGCTGTGACAAAATGGTACGTGGCGGATGAAGTCGATCATTCGATCGTTGAAACCGAGTCGACGGAGCTTCGAAAGCGGAATGCTCTTGTCGAAGCGCCCTCCTTTTCGAGCGTATCCGATTTCTGCCGGTTTGATCGATACTGTCTTTGAAAGGAGTTCGTAGTATCGGGTGATGCTTGCTATTATAGCATCGCGGTCGTAACTAGAGGCTGCGCTTGCGCTCTGCGATGTAGCTGTTTCGGCCGACATGGTAACGACGGTCGTGATCTTGTGTTCAGATATGAATTCGCAAAAGTCATTCAAACAGGCTTTTGCTACGGCTTTTCCTTGATGTTCACGAGAGGCAACGCGTTGCTCCTCGCTGCTGAATGTTGATGCGTTCGGAAATTGTAGCACGTAATTACGGCTTCATAACTGGACTAGAAAGTCGGGTGGTCGGCATCGCAGAGAGTACTGAATTTCGGATTGCTATCGCGAAAAGGAGATGCACGTGCAAGCGACGCGACATAGCGAAACGGATTAGGCATGGCGTTGCCCCCGCCTGCCTCCAAGCTTCTTGGATCCGGTCACGGTCGTTCCTACACGAACGCATCGCTCACGAGGAGGCGTTTACGACTTTAGCTCGATTTTTACCTGTGCTCGTCACCAAAGCTGCGTTGTGGTAGGCGGAATTATTGCCATCTGGCATCAAGACGACAAGACGACAAGCTATCGTTAACCACCGGATGAACTGCGGCTCTATGGCCACGTGATCGGACCTTCGCCGAAAACCTATCTGTCTCCGGATGCCATGATCGACCCGGTGGCCCAAGATTTCAAAGGCGACTCTGCGAGATTCGATGATTGCAGCCACCATATCCTTAGTGTGAAAGAAACACAGCGTTGCCACCTCACATTGCTTCGCTCGGAACACGCTCCAGGGTGCAAATGACGAATCGACGGCACGGGTCGAGAAAGACATGGCCGATCTGCTCGTTTACATTTACACACTAGGCAAACAGCCTAAAACAGATGCTAGTGCCCATCACGAACAGGCACGAACGAATGGTTAAGGAAAGGTAGACGGAAAAACCAAGATGGCCGTTACCCCAGATAGATTGCACTTTCTACCAACCCCGGTCAAAGAAGATTTTCCCCAGCTTTCGGCTCCACACGACGGGCTTGGTGGATATAGGTAAGAAACGACTATATAAGAACGAGTAGTCCGCAGCAGAAATGGGGTAGTCACCGTTGTCGAGCATCATCCACCACAATGCGTTCCATCCTCCTCGCCGGCGCTGCTCTCGTAGCCACAGCATTGGCTCGAACAGTTCCTCACCGTTCGTTGGCTGCCAGGCAGAACGGAGGCCTTCCCAGCACTTTCAGCTGGACATCGAGCGACATCCTAGTCAGGCCCAAGAACGATGGTCGCAACCTCGCTGGTATCAAAGATCCCTCAATCATCGAGTATGAGGGCGTATACCACGTCTTTGCCAGTACAGCAAAAGAGGAGGGCTACAACCTGATGTACTTCAACTTCACCGACTTCGACAAGGCACAAGAGGCGCCATTCTACTATCTTGACCAGAGCGCCATTGGTACCGGCTACAGGGCTGCACCTGAAGTTTGTAAGTAAAACATTCTTCCAAATCCATACATACCAGGATGAGAATAGAAAGAGTCCCCAGCTAACACTTCGCAGTCTACTTCGCTCCTCAGAAGCTCTGGTATCTCGTCTACCAGAACGGCAATGCGGCATACAGCACCAACCCAGACATCTCCAACCCTGCAGGCTGGTCTGCTCCGGAAGTCTTCTACCCCGACGGCACTCCCGCTCTCATTGCAGAGGGCCTTCTCACCCCTCAGCAAGGCTACTGGGTCGACATGTGGGTCGTATGCGACGAAGCCAACTGCCATCTCTTCTCACACGATGACAACGGCCGCCTCTACCGCAGCCAAACGACCGTCGCCCAGTTCCCTGCTGGAATGAGCGAGCCTGTCATCACCCTCTCAGAGCCCAACAAGAACGACCTCTTCGAAGCAGCCACCGTGTACCGCGTCGACAACAGCACCTACCTCCTACTTGTCGAGTGCATCGGCCAAGGAGATTCCCCCGGTGGCCTACGTTACTTCCGTTCCTGGACGTCTTCTTCGCTCGAGGCCGACGAGTGGAAGCCGCTTGCCGCTACCCAGCAGAACCCCTTCATGGGTGAGGCGAATGTTGAGTTTGCCAATGGAAACAGGTGGTCGGACAGTATCAGCCATGGAGAGTTGATTAGGTCCCAGGTTGACCAGACCCTCTCGATCAAACCGTGTGGTATGAGGTTCTTGTACCAGGGTATCGATCCTCAGGCGACCGGGAGCTACAATGCGCTGCCGTGGAACCTGGGTCTGTTGACACAGACTGGCAACACCACCTGCTAGATAGATATGTGAGACGATGAGAATGAGATTAGACGAAATGCCTACTCATGCACAATTGTATATAGATTCAGGAACATACTCGTATGAGCGCCTTCTCAACAAGTCAAAGAAACCACAATGATAATCATCGTTCAAAAGCAGACTCCCATGACGTTGACTGCACTATCCTCTTACACGCTCAGCTCACTGAGTACGTCACCTTACTACACCCCATTACAAACCACTACCACCACACTGGAGCCCTCCAAACACGATGCTCGTCCCCTTGTCACAAAAGATTCCCTGCAAACCCACGATCTGCACAAACACGGTACGGTCTCATCTCGGCACCACCCACGCCCCAACATGACGACTTCCATCGTCGTCATCGTTCGTCACCCGCCGCGTCCCGTCTAACGCGCTTTCCAACGAGGAAAAAGGAACTTTCCGGGACGCGTGGTCGTGGGAGATGCACGTTCCTGGTTGTAGTGGAAGGGTTGGTGGCAGGTGCGAGGAATATGCATGTTGACTTGTGCATATGATCTGCGCTTTGTGAAGGGCATGGACGGATCTAGACGGAGGGGGATAATATATCGTCGCGCGACTTTCCACAACGCATGGCGGCGTGGGAGACCGTGAGATGGGGGTATCGTGAGTTTCCTAGATGGGCGACTGTCTAAGCGGGCCTCAATGGTGATGCATGCACCGCAGCCGCTTCCCCGGCCGGGGTACTAGGTCTGTGTACCGGCATAAGCCTTTCACTCGCGTGGGTGATATGCTGACAGTAGATGACGTTGCGCCGAGTGTGATAGAAATCGTTATCGTCATATCACTCATCATGTCTCTTGACGAGCGTACCTAGGGACCGATGAAGTACGTCAAGCCTTCCAGGAGCTAGCCGCTTACTGATTGGCAGTCAGTGTTGGTGTCTTCTTCGTTAGCCAGGCAAGTATCCATGCGTAGATTGACTATGTGGCTCATCAGCTTCGTCGCATGTTTCGTCGTTATCGCGCAGTCTCATGCTGTCAGTGCAATATGACAAGTCGTCCGTGTTCATGAGAGATCTCTGCTTATCGCGAGCATGCCATCGCACACCGGCTTTTGCCGTTGCGATTGCTGTAGTCGAGGTATTTGGTTGTGGCGAGCCGAGCCGGAGCATTCACGGGGAAGCGGGATGGATGTGGGCTCGTCGCTGGGAACGGAAGGAACGATTTATCATCACACGATACCATGCTTCCGGTGAAACATATTCTCGTTGACGGATGGAGTTAACGCGAAGTACGATGATAGAGCTGTAGATCTTCCCATGACGTGAATGCCAACGTCCGTTGCGTAAGAGGCAGGTGTGCGTATAGACTCGTCCATGGCGAAAACGGGGAGGATGGGGTCTGCCGTTTCGAAAGAGCTTATCAGACCCGAAAGTGTGAAACAGATCTAGAGCTCGAAGAGGTTGCGACAACTGTTCCGATGGACCTGGGTTCTGGACACGCAGAGCTCCTGCTAAAGCTTGATCACCACCGTGGTTGCATCACAATATCGCACTCGACAACCATAGACCCAACAACCGGAGAACATCGGAGAAACAGCTCCAGATCACGACGATCCTCGATCCCGATCAAGTAAACCCTTCCCAACTGCATACACACGCCGCAGGAACACGAACGCCTCGCTGCAAAGTGCAGACGTCAACACTTGGCGAACAGCCTCGTACGAAGCATTAGGATGTCAACACACGCGCAACATCAAAATGATGGTGTGCTACCCCACGATTTGCGTAAAGGGAACTGGGGTTGCTTTGCTAAAGGATTCAAACATGGTCAAGCGAGCGAATTGTTGAGCTAGTGTCTCGGTTAAGATTCCGATGTGACTGGATTGGCGGGATGGGGTGGATTGGTGGAACATCCAAGGTCTTCTCGGTCCGACTGGGTGTATGTTATGTCATGGGGAGGATTTGGGAAGGTGTTGTTGAGGATGGCGGGTTGCGATCGAGGATTGTTACCTTGGCTATAGAAGAGGGTGTTAAGAAGATTGATCGCGGGTTTTCGCCTGTTGCTGGGGCCAGATGCGGGGTCTTGGTGTATGGGTTCTTGGTAAGCTACCTAGGTATGAGTTCGTTACGAGTTGCTAGACGGAGATTGATGGTTACAGGTTCCTGAGAGCGTATGATGTGCGCTTGAAAAGAAAGAGTTGTCATTGTGAGCCTATCAATCCTAGGATGCGATATATGGGGTTTACAGGCCGCATTGAATGCCGCATTCTCCGCCGCTCTCCGAAAGTCCGCGGCTCCGTTACTTCAGGGAATATACTGCGGACGCATGCAATGTGCAGAAGTTCATTCTTCTCACGAAGAGCGTTCGCCTAGAATTCGATGAGACCATGCCTCCGTGGCCGCGGAAAGAGCGAGACATTCAAATGCAAAAGCTAGGATCTGTGGATTGTTGAGAGAGATGCCATGTAAAATGCGGACCTTAGCGCACTATGTGTACACGCCGCAAGCGCGGTGCTGCTAATGACTTTCGCATCGCTTACCTCAACGAGCTCGCGCCCGAACCCAAGAGACCTTGCTCACTTGAATTGTCGTGCATCTTAGTGGCGTGAGCAGCTGTCATGACCCCGATGTCTCATGAACACTGCCTCTTTGTTCGTGTGTGCGTCATTGGAAGCCTTCAAGCCCCTTCTCTGGGCATGGAGAAATAACGACCCTCGATCCTCCTATCACGGTCATGAGAGGTCCATGTTCGTTATGGTAAATCTAGGCAGAGAGAAATTTAAGATAGCCTGGACACCGTACACGACACGGGCGGTCGTCGCAAATCGCGCGTAAACCGTGGGCTTCCATGAACCGGGGACGGCGACCAGACCTATCG